TACTCGATGGTAAAAATGAAAACCGTTTCCCTTAAAAACAGGACAATCCCAAGACAGGAATGTCCACTTTCACCACTCTTATTCACCATAGTACTGGAAGTCCTAGCCACAGTCATCAGACAGGAAGAAAACATAAAAGGTATCCAAATTGGAAAGGAGGAAGTAAAACTGTCATTATTCACAGATGACATGGTATTGTACATGGAAAACCCTAAAGACTCCACTAAAGTACTACTAGATTTGATAAATTAATTCGGCAAGGTAGCAGGATACAAAATTAACATCTGAAAATCGATGGCATATTTATACACCAACAATGAACTCTTAGAAACAGAAACTAAAAAAACAATCCCATTTACCATTGCAACTAAAAAAATAAGATACCTAGGAATAAACTTAACCAAGGATGTAAAAGACCTGTAATCAGAAAACTACAAGACACTGAAAAAAGAAATAGAGGAAGATACAAACAAGTGGAAAAATATACCATGTTCGTGCGTTGGAAGAATTAATATCATTAAAATGTCCATATTACCCAAAGCAATCTATAGATTCAATGGAATTCCTATTAAAATACGAACAAATATTTCACAGATCTAGAACAAATATTCCAAAAATTTATATGGAACCAAAAAAGACCCTGAATAGCTGCAGCCATCTTGAGAAAAAAGAACAGAGCTGGAGGGATCACTGTACCAGTTATCAAATTATACTGCAAAGCCATTGTAATCAAACAGACTGGTACTGGCACAAAAACAGGCATATAAATCAATGGAAAAGAGGCTCCCAGAAATAGACCCATACCATTATGGTCAATTAATATTTGACAAAGGAGGCAAGAGCATAAAATAAAGATAGTCTCTTCAATAAATGGTATTGGAAAAGTTGGACAGGAACATGCAAAAAAATGAAACTGGAACACCAACTTACACCATACACAAGAATAAATTCAAAATGGCTAAAAGACTTAAATATAAGTTGTGAAACCATAAAGATCCTAGAAGAAAACATAGGCAGTAAAATCAGACATCTCATGTAGTAGAATTTTCACTGATACATCTCCTAGGGCAAGGGAAGAAAGGAAGAAATAAACAAATGGGACTTCTTCATCAGACTAAAACACTTCTGCACAGCAAAAGAAACCATCCTCAAAACGCAAAGGGAACCCATGGTTTGGGAGAACATATTTGCCAAGGATACATCTGACAAGGGGTTAATTTCCAAATATACAAAGAACTCATACAACTCAACAAGAGGAAGACAAACAATACAATTAAAAAATAGGCAAAGGACCTGAATAGACACTTCTCCAAGAGGACGTACAGATGGCCAAGAAACATGAAAAAATGCTCAGCGTCGCTAATCATCAGAGAGATGCAAATTAAAACCACAATGAGGTATCACTTCACACCTGTCAGAATGGTTCCACCAACAAATCAACAAATGACATGTGCTGGCGAGGGTGTGGAGAAAGGGGAACCCTAGTACGCTGCTGGTGGGAATGCAGACTGGTGCAGCCACTATGGAAAACAGTGTGGAGTTTCCTCAAAAAATTAAAAATCAAACTGCCTTTTGACCCAGTGATCCCACTTCTAGGAATATATCCTAAGAATCCTAAAACACCAATCAGAAAGAATATATGCACCCCTATGTTCATATCAGCACAATTTATAATAGCTGAGATCTGGAAACAGCCCAAGTGCCCATCAGTAGATGAGTGGATAAAATCGCTGTGGGACATTTACACAACAGAATACTATGCAGCTGTAGAAAAGAAGGATCTCGTACCCTTTGGGACAATATGGATGGACCTGGAGAATATTATCCTAAGCGAAATAGGCCAGGCAGAGAAAGACAAACATCACATGACATCACTTATATGTGGAATCTAAACAACTTAGTAAACTGATGAACAGAATAGATTCAATGACGTGTAAGCATGGATCAAACTGACAAATCTCAGAGGGAAGGAAAGGGGTGGGGCAGGGGAAGGAGAGATTAACCAAAGAATTTATATGTATATATGCATAACCCACGGACACAGACAATCGTGTGGTGAGGGACTGGG